TCACTCTTTGGTAATTTACTTATGATTTTATACAGATCAAACTTTACTGTAGAGACAAGGAAAGCAGAATTTTTTATCATGGGCTCATCTTATCAAGGTTTGAGCTCCTGTATGAGCTTTAATGGAACTTCTGGCAAGACTGAGGCAAAGTTGGTGATAATGTTTGGTTTTGACTTTGCTTATCAGTACTGAGTAAAAAGGATAAAATGTTACTTGAGTTACTTTTAATCAGTGATTTTAAAGATAATTATACCCTCCAGAATAACAATTTTAATCATTTGTGGCAGCAAATCCTTTGATGCATTCAAAGTGCAAGTGGTCTATTAAAAGAGTTAAATGACCTTTCCACCTGTCCAGAGTATTAAAGAAGAAGCAAGCAATTTGCGTATATATATATATTTCCATATGTATGTATGTATATATATATATACACATATGGAAATCGCAGCTCTCTGATTAGTTGACGGGGTTGTTCGATAGTCCATCCTGTGAAGTGCAGATAACTGCACTTTCTAGGAATCTATGACACATTGTGACAAAGGACGCATCATAGACTTTAGGTGTGTGCAAAATCCCAAAATGCAGATCTGGTTATTAATTTACTGAGGACTGAAGTAGCATGGCCGTAGCAAAATAAAAAATACCTAGAGTAAGATAGTTTACTCATAGAATAAATCCAAACAGAATGAAATAGTCTATTTCTTCCTCACCTGCTGAACATATGATAACTTATGAAAGGGCATAGTGTCACAGACAATGGTAGTTATTTGGTACATCATCCAATTATCTATTCTTCACATGTGAATCTTGAGAGTGAGTGTTAGCATTACTATTCAATCCTAGGTAGAATGACGGTCTGATCTGATCCTGTACTCACTCAATGTTCATCCACGTGCACTTTCCAGCTAGGGTCACTGGATAGCAATAGTTTAATGGGGAAAGGTTGCCACTGTGTCTATTAGCACCTCTTGTTATGTGTTAATAATACTTCTTCATCTCTCTCCAATATTCAGTGGTGATGGGAGGAGTTTCACATAGAGTGGCTGGTTGAGAAACAGTTCAAGGTTTGCCAGCCTTCTCATGGGTAGGGAACGCTGTGTTACACATGGAACACTGAAAATGGACCACCCCCTCCCTCCCAACCCTAATGGTGATGTTAAATATTTGTAAATTAAATATTGCACAAGTGTACTGACACTCCCAACATGCAGTTTCTCATGATTAGAACAGAGCAGTACTTTGCCCAATTGTTGCATAATGATTTACAATACAGTATATTTTATAGTTAGGTTTTATACATTTTTCTCCATTTTGGCAGAGACTACTTTATTGTAAAACAGCAGGATGTTTTTATGAGGTGGTATACTGTACTCGCAGCAGGTACTAGCTATGTGCAGGCAGGAAATGCAATACCCTAGGGCCCAGGCAATGCATTGTTTTGTGGACAAGTAAATGCTAAGATTGCTTGCTGGAGCTTAATTTACATCAGGAAAACTCAATGAGTTTAACTCAAGGAACTTTCATAAGTTGTACTGCTTCCAATCGTGACTTGTTTACACTTATGGAGATTGATTCCATTTTCTAATGGTGACGTGATGAGATTAAGTAATACATTAATAGCCCTGCCAGACTATAGGCAATCTTAAAAGCACAGGTGAGATAGACAATGGCTACCTGGATATGAGAGTTGCATTGGTGTCTAATTTGCTGGGAGCATATTTCAATCAGCAATAGATGAGACCTGATGATCAATTAGAAGTTGGGCAGTGACTATAATCAAAGTCCACTTCCTAAATTATTCTTCCCACAAAATATGTGCTCAATTTAAAAGCAAAGAACTCAAGACTAAGAACACTAAGCATATTTACATTAATGGTGTGGGATTAGATAACTGGATGATCTCAGAGATTCCTGCTGATCTCATAGTAAAACCTGACATATCAGGTAGCTCAGTCGGTAGAATACTGGACTTGGGACAAGTCCATTGTTCAAATGACTGAGCTCTTCATACTTTCAAGGTCCATAAAAATCCATCCTATGCCAAGGCACTCTTCTCCTTAGAGGTGAGAGGAGGGGCTAATGGAGAAGTAATCATGTTTTTTCTTGAGGGCAAATCCAGACAGATCTGCATTACTGTTGATGGTTGAGGAGCCTGTCTGGCTCATCAACGAGACTTGGTGTATAGGCATGTCAGCAACCATGCAAGCAAAAATCATTATGGGTTGGGCAATCCTGGCTGGACAATAAAATATGAAACCAAATAATTTCACACATCATTATCTGACCCAACGTGTGCCTGTATGTATAGGCAGTGCAAACAACAAGCTTTTAAATACGAATGGCAAGTCTGTTTACTGAGTGCTCCCAATTTGTTTTGGTAAACATGCAATTCTTATGTGCAGTTTAGACCTGGGAAATCCATTATGTGGTGTGCATAGAAGAGAGTCTGGCTGCTGTTTATACTGTGACACATGTCACATATCACTGTAATGCACTTTGTGGAAATAGGTTTTATAGGAGCATGGGCACAAACATGGGAATAGGTTACTTTCTCCTATTTTCACTAGTGTGTGCTACAGACTTAAAGTGGGAATCTAAAAAAGTTTTCCTTTAACAAAATGAATCTATGCAAAACAAAGTAGTATGTCTAGTAGCACATGAGGAGTTGTGGGTGTGCGTGTGTGGGGTTGGCGAGGGGAGAGTATCAGGTTATTTATGTCCCTTATTGTGTCCTGGTGACTAAAGAAGATAAAACTGCTGACCAAAATTTTAAAAAAATTAACTTTAATTCAAAAAACATTTTGAAGTGAAAGGGAGAACATTGCAGCACACAGATTCGCTCTAGCATTCTGTGTAATTTGGAAGGAGTTCAGACCATGATTATTTGTTTGGTAAAACATATTTAGAATCATCTGCAAACATAATAAAACAATACAGGCTTATAATAGCACAATACTGCTAAAGGGTCATTAAACTGTTTAACTGCTTAAACTGAAAATGCTTTGTAATGTGAACAGATTGCGGGAATGAATTGTTTGCCCTACAGAGAGAGAGAGGGAGAGAGATGGAGCAAAATCCTGACATCCTCATATTGTCTGTTTAAGATGAAATTGTGATTGACTGCAATATGTGAACATACCTTTCCTTCAAATATCACCCCAAAATGGAAGTGTATAAAATTGGAGTTCTTAAACTTGAGATATTATGTAACTTTGTTTTTGCTTCTTTCAGGTTTTCCTGTGCCCTTGAAGGCTGTAGGGTGTACTTCCTCAGAACATATAATAGCCAGGATTTTCCCACATTACACATGACATGAATTATTTGCTCCAAAACAATAGCAAGGTTAATTATTCATCTGTGCCTGCACGCAACCAAAGGGCTGAGGTTTTTTTTACCCCTCGTAAGAATGCTTACCGTACCTTAATCCAAGAGTAGTCACTATTGCCAAATGTGCCTCAGTACAAATAAATGTTGAGGATTATGTACGAAACCCAGTGTCTCAAGTTCTAACATGCAGTACCAAGATTTCACTTTGATTTACTTGATGTCTGTTCTGTCAAAGCTTTGCTTGACACTGGAAATAGTCTGTTCATGAAAAAGAACTGAACACCTGAAAATTCACCATCCCATTTTTATGGTAAAAACGTATTTGTTATTATTGTGTATACCACCCTAAAAACTCAGAACTGCAAGTTGAATAAGTCATCTCCAGCTCTCAGTCAGCAGAAGGGTACCCAAATGTCCCTCCACATCACGACTATTTAAAGAATGCTAATAGCCACTGGACTAAATTATTCTCATATTTAAAAGAGTTGCGTTACTGACATTTTGTTTTATCAAAGTATGCAATTAGACTTCAGCCTTAATATCTCGGAGGCTGTCACATCTCTGAACTATGCAGCACTGCTTGCCAGTCGCAATCAGAAAATGTTCCGTCCCTTCAGCTTAATGAAAAAGAAGCACTTGGCTATAAACTTGTAGTCATCCTGTATCCAATCACATTGTCTTGAGTAATTAAAATGATTAGCTTAATTAGCTTAATTAACTAAATTTGACTACAGGACATGGCCATATGGTGAAGCAAAACAAAGATGGGAGCTAATTAAACTTAAAATAATGCAGGTTTTAATTAACTCAACCCCTAGGCATCAACATTTTCAAATTTATCCAAGCTGATAATTAAAAAGTCCTCTTGCCCAACCAACATTTCTTCTCTGAGCTAATTAAATCTGGAAATGAATTAGCAACATGAAGCTCCGAATATTAATTCCTGCTGGAAGATGACTTCACTTCCTAATGAAATTAATTAGCTGCAGTGGACCTTCAATCAGATGCCAAACACTGTCCATGAACATAGACCTCATGTAATCTAGAGCCAGGCTACAAGCCCTGGGGCAGGAATTTACAACAGCAATGAACAATCTTCAGCTATGTGCCTCCCTTAATAACCAAATGAACATGTAGCTCTGTGTTTGCCAGCAGCCCTCTTTTTTATTTAACAGCGCTGGTTTATCAATGCAGTTAGTTAAACATTCTTTTGCCTAATACTACTTGTTAGTGTTAATGATAAGATTCGCTGGCAGCAATAGCATTCTGAGGAAAAGGGAGGTTTTGGGGAAAGAACAAAGGTTATACAGTATTAAATGTGAAAGCTGTTTAGTAGATAGCTCTCAAACGGTTTTCAGACAAGACAACCTTAGTATGATTAAATCACTGGGTTTACCTGTTGGTGTTTAACCCAGTGCTTGAAAAGTCAACTACCCAAATCCTATTAAGCACTATTAAAAAACATGAAGCTTAAAGGAGCAGAAGCTGTAGAGTTAATCATAAACTAAATTTGCTTCTCTCCTCCAACACAACACAGGTTGAATAGTGTGAGCCCTCCCTCAGTCTGAAAGGCAGGTGTTGATTTCCTGATGCACTTTCAAGACTGCAAATCTTTTGAGGGCTGCACTGCAATTTCAGCATCAAAATCCCTAACATTCATTTAAATATTTAATTGAAAGGAACGGAGAACAATTGCAATTATACCATTTATTCCAGGAATGTGACGAGTTAAGAAATGTTTTGCAGTTCAGTACGTTTTTCGAATTTCCCTTAATGTCATTCAGCAGTGGAAGGAAATAATTTCGTAATTGTTGAGAGATGTTTACTTTGAAAGACAAAAAATACCATTCCATTCTACAAGGGTTAAAGACACAGTGTTAGGTACAGTTTGTGCATACAGTGATCAGGACCTTGGTATACATCAATAAGAATCTGTACAAGACCTGATCTTTCAGTTGTTTTAAATTGTGTTTTTTTTTAAATGAGACTAATACTTGTTAAGATTTTTCACTCCACCAAAACTTCATAGCAAATATTCCAATAAAACAAATTCCTATGAGATTCTAAAGGGTGCTTGTAGATTTTATAACTGATCCTATAGGGTTCTGCATGACTATTTGTAGTACACCACACGCATTTCACTTGGGTCCCACAGGATCTAATAAAACCCTATTAATTTAATAGGTTCATTTAAAATCCTATAGAAAGCTCCTTTACTTTGACAAAAATGAATTTACTAATGCTCTAATTAAGAATCATGCAAGCAGTTGATACAAAATCCTTATTACGTGCAGCATTAAATTTAAAGTAGCAGCAAAGGTTAACTGAAGTGTATACCAATTACTGAAATATATGAGATGGTGAAATATATCCGACTGCTGCATTGAGATTCATTAAGATGACACTTGTGGCTTCTTTACTGTGTTTCTGCAGTTTTCAATCCAATAGCTGTTTCTATGCTTGGGTAAGGTTCCCCAGTTGCTAGTCTGAGTTCCTCCAGTGACATTTGTGCAGCCATTTGGAGTCCCAGATGCAGGAAATGAAATAATCCACGCTTATACAGACATGAAAGTGTCCATCTGGCACACAGGGCAATCTAGCTACAGAAGCAAAGCCTCATTTTTGCCATTGCATTTCATTAAAAAAGAACTATGACAGCTGCATATTTTTCCTTTATACAATATTAACTTTTTTCATTTTAAGAACACTTACAAAGTAATATGCATCTATTATCTCAAAAAGTACTATTAAAATGAGTAATTTCAGTCTTGCAGTGGGCCGTCTCATGTGCAATCGAGACAGCCACTGATTCCTTGCATATTAAGAGTGCAAATTGTTCATTTTGGAGTTTGGAAGTAAAGAAATCGGTAATTGTGAGGCACTTTCTTCGAAGCAAACCATCCTGCAAGAGACAGCATTTTTTTTTACCAGACTGGAAATATTTCTCTTTTTTTCTATTGCATTCTTGCCTTTCAGCATCCAAGACTTTTTTCTGACTGTTGCCAACCTGCAAACATGGAAGGCAAGTTTGGGCAAGCTCTCGATTTCTTTAAAGCACTTATCAAAATCGTCCCAGAATGCCATCGGTGCTCAGTCAAACAAGCTTCTTCTCTCCTGTGCTTTACCTTACAAAATCAAATATGTCAAAATTTGTGGAATTTTCTGGGGTTGCCTTTATCCTGTGTATTTCTGAGAGAGTATCAGTTGTAGCCCCAGCCATTACAAGCTCTCCCCACCACACCACGCCCCCCCAACCCACCCAACATGCAGCCAAAAGTGCCAGCAGGAGAGAATTCTGCCCATTCCAGAAGCTAAATGAGTCACCAAGAGTCAATCTGTTTTGTTCTGCCACTGGCGTTTCCTTGGGTCTTGGCCTTGCTGTGCTGTTCTGCTCACACACAGAGCTCCAGGCTTAGACCCTAGCTCGGCTTGACTACCTCCTGCTTCCCTGCTTCCATTCTGCTCACTGCAGCTGTTGTTGGGTTTTGACTAGCCAGCCACGGAAGGTTCACGCCTCTGTCGGATTTCTCCAAACTTCTTGCTCTGACAGAGAACGAGGACATTTTGGCTTTGTTGTATTTGCTGGAGCAGCAGTTGAGAAGGAACCTGGAATAAAATAGATATGTATTCATTTTATTAAAAAAAAGATCAAGTGGCATAAAATAAACTTATCAGTGAGCTGCAGATGCCAGTTCATAAATTACATGGAATTGCAATAAAAATATATGCTCTATAAAATTTCAGTAAAAATTAGCTAATGTGCATTTATCATATCTGAGTAAATACTGGTCTGCTGTGATATTCTGTTTACTGCCAACTACAGGATACATATGGAAGCAGATGTTAACCCTTTGATGACCACAGCAGCACCGCCAACTAGAACCAAAAATAATAATAATGATAATAATAATCCTTGCATTTGATTTAGAGCCATATCACGTCTTTGAGACTCTCAAAGCACTCCACAGAATATACTGTAAAGTGAATTGACAGTATATTTTGTGGGTGAAAAAATGGAAGCAGATCACATGTTGCCATTTATTCTAAGAACAATATGAATAAAGAATCGTTTCTCTAATTCTACATCTCAAGGTTTTTCATTAGGTACGTTCAGGAAATGTCTAGTAACCCATGACATGAAATGCTCATGCTCCAGAAAACTGAAAAACTATTAACTGTTTGAAAAGGCAATCATCAGCTATTAAAGCCCTGGCTGTATATGAGAGGTTTTACAATTATAATCATTGTCAACACTTTGAGAGTTCATAGTATGGATTCTAATGTTGGAATAGATACCTTTCACTGAAGTGGGGCCATTTCAAATGTAAGGCTTATGGGAGGGAAGGGTATAAACTGGAGTGATTCGCTCTCTGATTTTGCTTCCCTCACTCTGCTGAATGCTCACCACTAATGGCATGGCCGAGATCAACCACTCATCGTATGGCATATCATTGAGAATAAGTCAACTTCCTATCAATCCATGCAACATCACACCAATACAATTATGCACAGTGCCATCACGATCCCTTATTCTGTATATTTCTCCCACAAAATAGTCAATTCACTTTACAGTATATTCTGTGAAGTGCTTTGAGACGTCTTGAAGACATGATAAGGCGCTCTATCAAATGCAAGGATTATTATTACTCTTGGTTTTTGTGCAAAATATTACTGCAGGCTTCAGAGGGTTAAAACTCTCCATAAAGTAACCGGATAAGACTCATGATGGTGAAAGCACTCTGATTCTAAACAGTCATTTCCTGCCAGTGGTACACCTTCAACCACATTCTGACTGTGATTTTTTTTGAAAAAAATGATCTGACACATCTACTAGTTTGGGAGAGTCAGGCCTGTTCATTCAGGGTAATGAGACCATTGCAATTCAGGTTCAATTAAATTCTTTGTTTACTGTCTCTGGAAAGAAAAGAGAGGTACAACAATAGTCCATAAAGCTCAGAGGGTATAATGAGGAGTTGATCAAAGCTCTCAGCATTATTCATTTGTACATATGATACAGATTGATTCGACCAGTTCAACTATCCTCAATCTACTTCTCCTTCTCTCTTAATTTACTTTTGTGGGGGGATGGGGAGGAGATGAAGAGACAAAAAGATTCTGAGCCCAATTCACGACACATAAGTGGATTCAAGCACAGGAAAGTGAAAATGCCATGGATTATTTGACACCGTTGAGATCTACATATCCCTTCACGAGGCCAAAATGCCTAATGCCTTGGCCTTTTTGTAAGGTAGGGGAGAAAATGGAGAGAGAGCCTTCGGTCACCCTCAAAATCTAATGGGGAAAACTCCCTCCACTAACAAAGGTAAGCACATATACAAGTATAAAGTGACTGCAGACTCATTATCAAATCTTTCTTCTATTATCCTCATTCTCTTGAACCAATGACTCCACTCTGTGACTACTGTTCAGTTAAACCAAAATGCCTGGGAATATGCATTTAATCCGACATGTGCGTGTAATTAGTGTACATACGTGGAATTGTTTTCAGTTCAAAATAAATATTACAGCAGCGGAACTGCCGGCCGTGGAAATGGTGTAGCTCTGTGCTCCATTCACCCACGAGGATCTGATTCCTGAGCTCAGATTACAAGACTAGGTCTCAGCAGAACGAAGGAACAATGATTCCCCAAACCAGTTAGCGTCTTTGCAGCCGTTTCACATGGTCTGCACTCTGAGTAATATGGGCTTCACTCTGCAATCTGACACGGTGCCACAGAAGCAGATTTCTAAATTTGGTTTGAGTTTGTATAAAACATGGGGTTATTTACTTCAATTGCAAGATCAATGAGCCCATGCTAAAAACATTAAGAAAACGAGCAGAAAGATTGCTACAATTCACTGGTGTTAGGATACATTGATATTGAACATTATTGTGGAAATGCAAAATATATGCTGTCACAGTACGTGTGGGTAGTTTCTGTCTTGAGCTTACTACCCCGTCACCAAAAAAGCCATTAATTCAAGCTAAGAGGATTTTGGACTGAGTAAAGGGCTGACCCTTGGAGTAATCAATGGTCTCTGTAGCTTTCAAAATGCAGGTTTTTTTAAAAAAAAAAGCAGTTCTCAGCCTCATTAGGTTTTATATAATGGGCGCTTTCATTTTCCTTACTTCACAGCTTGGAAGACTATCTGCCTAGGAGTTCACATGTAATGGATGTCTTGCTGCCAAAGCTTGTGTTTGGATATTCCAAGCTCAGGCACGTCTACTCTACCCTGGAGGCCTGGGTGGTCCAGTCCACCATCACAGGTGGCTTTAGTGCCATTCTTGGTTTGCCAGGCAGAGACATTTTGTGTTGCAGGTATGAAGGAAAGAAAATCAGACCGAAAGTACACAAGGGACAGAATGTAACAAAGGATCATTGTACGAGAACATCATTTGGCACCCTGTGCGTTCCACACACCTTGCCAAAAACATGCCTAGTCTAAGAAGCATATCCAGGACACACGGTCCAGTGCCACACTGTGCAGTGCACAAAGGCATTCGGGTACTTTGACTTTTATATAAAAAGCTCATCCAAAATATAAAAACTTGCAGAAGGAGACAAAGAACTAACTTCAACACATTGCCAATATTTTTTATAATGCAAATCTTAAATGTTAAACAATGTTTACCCATGTTAAAACGTACTTTGTTGTTTGTGAACTATGAAGTCATTCAAACTCATTGAATACAAATGGTCCCTCATGGTTTAACATGTGGCTCCATGTAATATATTTAGGAAATGTGAGAAACATTGATTATTTTATTGTGGCTCCTTTCAAAAGTATCTGCAAAATGAAACCTTAGTATTTTCTTATTTTGTTTAAAGTGCTTAAAGACTTACAGTATTTGAACTTTCAAAGTTAGTGGCATAACTGACAATATCCCCAGTAAAATGATCACGTAACTGGAGAGGAAGGGAATTATAAAATTTGAAATATCACTTTAAAACACGCAATTACATTCATACAAACTGAAGAAATCACATTGCAAGTAGAAGCAGTCAAGCTGAACAACCTTTTGGCCTCGGCACTTTTTGGTAAAAGACAAACATTGTTTATACAGCAAATTTATTGTGGGAGTAAATGCTGTGTGTACGTTCATGACTGGACTAAAGTTTACAATGTAAACTTGCTGGTGGAAGCATCCAGTTTAAAACCAACATAAAAACTAACCCATGCACTGTGTGTTCTAGGCTAGTTTTCCTCTGGAAGATGGCCAACGTAAATAGTTAGCCGGTGTAATGCTTCGAGCCTGATTAGGTAACTCACCCACCCAATGGGCCACCTCATAAGTCACGATTTAAACACACCATGAAGCTAACTTTGCTGCACTGTGGTGCGAATGGGGTAGATCAGATACTTATCTTACCAGTATCCAAAATAAACTGTAGTGCAATTACTGGGCACCAGTGGTAATGGACTACAGGCTGCAATTAGAAGTACGGCAGTAATGAGCACGTCAAGGACCACAGCAATATTTCTGAACCACGTCCAAAAATAATAGTAAGTCTGAACTTCTTGTTTTCCTTACAAATGTAATGTTCAACATGTTTTTGTTAAAAACAGGTTATAATTTTAGGGGAAAAATGAGATGGAAAGTATGCTTCTTTTCGAAGGTACAGTGCGAGCCATTTATAATGGAATACTGTTAGCCACGTCATCAGTTCATGACCAGAGCAGCATCACTGTGCTAAAAGCTATCTGAGCAATTAGAAATCCAGTCAGACTTTTACAGTGTTTTACAGTGAAAATTGTGACCTGTGGTGTGTTAATTAATACCAGCGTTAATTAACACATTGTTAAAAATTCTACTCTTGTCAATAACTCAAGACGTTGGTTTCACAAACCTCCCTCCCGCCAAATCCGACACTGCCACAGTTGTTCAGACACTTGAGTTCAGACCGTGGATTAACATAAACATCCAAGCTGCTGACTGGCAATCCAATGTATGTTGTGACTTAATTCTGGTTCAATTATTGTGATGACATTTGTTAGGTCAGAGTATTAAGGGATACTGGGCAAGGGCGGGCAGGTAATTGGACTTGATGTACAGATCAGCCATGATCTTACAGAATGGTGGAACAGGCTCGAGGGGCTGAATGGCCTACTCATGTTTCTATGAAGGAGTTGGGCCGGGGGGAGGTGGGAGGTAGATAACTTACCATTCCTAGACTTTTCTATTGTACAAATTCAAATTCAGTGCAAATTCTGATAGGTAATAGACTTGAAAGAATTATAATATCAATGCAGAAGTCAGTGCTTAACCTTTGAATTCTATTAGCTTGACAGCATTAATGTAGCAGGAAAATCGGTGATCATCGCCAGTCAAACTTTGTAACAAATAAAGAGTTGTGTGTTCTTTACGTACAAGGCACCGCACAGCAATGTCAGTATGAGTAAATTGCCTGGTCTGTGGTCATACATCACTTGACAGCAATTACCTGTGAAGTTCTTTGAGATGTTTTGACATTATAGGACTTATCAAATACAAGTATTATTATTATCATTATCATATTATGTGATCATGCTCAACTGGCACAATATAAGCAGGCTGATAAGTTAGTTGGATCTGGATTTTTTTTAACATTGGTTCTTGGATTAAA